TAGCATCCAAAGTTTACTTTGGTCACTGGTTGTTTGTTAGGTTCATGAAGGAGCCTTCTTGTAAACTTGCATTATTTTTGCTTGATATTTTACTTCTGCTGCCTTGGCCCTATTTACTCAAGGAGATTCTAGGAATTTTGCATCATGAGAAACTTTTGCATACAGTGAATACAATTTTTAAGTTTCAATTGATAATGAGATTCTTCCATTATAGCATACACTTGGGTAATATGATATTGTGTTGACATTAATATGATCTCACTATTTTGGTGGATCTGATTTGCATGTCGTCCACTATATTATCTAAGATTGTGTAATTAAATATGTTTCACAAACCTGGAAAAGTTTTTTGATGACTTTGATAAAACAATTTACTTCCAAACAGAGAGTGAAATATACACCTAGCTTTCATATTATTAATATTACTTTCCTTCAGAGTCAAATCTCATAAAGAAAAGTGAACAAAACTACTTGACACTACATTATGCAAAGAAAGAAATAATGGTTGTATCTTGCTACGTAAATAATGGCATGTTAACAAAGTAATTGGTTCAGAAAGTTGTCCAGTGAATTTGGGAATTAAGAAGTACACCTGTGTTGCTAATTTCCGGAACATGTTGGGGAATTTATGCTGCTTCACTATTTGCATCTTGGTCTTAGCCTCTTCTTTATTCAATAATTTTACGCATTAATTGTCCATTAAGATTGGAACAGAAAGTAACTTTATAACGATGTGACAATTGTTAATGCATTGCCGTGCAACCCTGGAGGAAAAATACTAACTTAAAATGTCAAATTTCAGTTCTGCCTGCAGTATATTGTTGCTGGCTGTGTCTATTGCCACTGCAACTCGAGGGGGCACACTAACCCACCATGCACTAGCAATGCCTGGGACATCACTGCTGGTAATGCCACAGTGAGCTGCCTGCATCGAAGAATAGGACCAATAATATGAAAGTTATTCTAATGTTTTAAAGGCATTCAAATGCTGGGATCATGATTTACTTACTGCCTGACTTCATACACTTATCCGCACCATTTTTGATTCATCACTGCCTCCCTGCCACTCACTGTTGCCACACTGTCCTCGAGTGAGTGAATGAGCTAGCTTGTGGGAGAGTGGCAATAGGGTAGGGGGATTGTGAGGTGGACACCAGGAGAGGATCAGCTAGCAAGAATACTGGGGGTATTGGTGAACAACATACCAGACAGGAGAAGGGGGGCCACTCATTGTAGCGGTGAGTGTAGTAATGGCATGGATCCGGACTGAGCGAAAGAGCCGAATACAAAGGATGCTGAGTAGAGTTGCAGGCAGTTTCAAAGTGTCATGAGTTCTTGGGCTTCAATGGCTCCGTACATGCGCGTATCAGCTGAATTAACACTGGCTTCCAACTCCAGGTGCATTTTGATGATGTTAGTGCCAACCTCCTCTGCCAGTGTATTGGCAGGTGACACTCTGATTATCGTTAGACAATTGACAAATATCTCATTTCACATTTTTTGGAATTTTTCTTATCTTGATTCTTCACTTGTTTTCTCTCTATTTGAATCCCATTGTTACTTTCCCCAACTTTTTCTTTTGCCTTATTTCAGATTTAGTTCATCCATTCTAATTCGGCCTCCACTGTTATCCCTTTGGTTTCTTTGTCAATCCTTCATCTCATCAGTTAAGAAAAGAGACAGTGGGCCCCACCCTTTACTGAAGTGCCAGATGCTCTGTTGCCCTCAGCACTTCATTATCAGCTCCAGCATGTTATGTTACAAACTCTTTGAAATGAAATGGAAAGGCAAACCAGCAGAGAATGCCTCAAATATCATCATTGCAGTATGACCTGACCCAGTGAGGTCAACACATGCCAGGCTGGATTTTTTCATTGGATCCAGGAGGAAGGGGTTGGCTCTTCTTTGTGTTAGAAAACTGCTTCCAGTGGGATCCAAACAGAGCTTTGGATTTTACTTTGGGTGAAGCCGTAGATGGAATGCAGACAGGTTTTGGGCATTCGTGGCAGCTATCATTGAGGATGCTGCTTGTCCTAAAGAAGAGAAACTGTGCCAGTGCCTGGTACTGCATGACAGGGACCTGATATTGCTCAGGGGAGCCGACGGCTATCATGAGGGAAAGGAGGGAAGTCCTCTAACACCAAGTCTGTCGCATGCTGCCTCCTTGTCGGGCAGTACGGGTACCTCTTTGTTCAGTATCATCTCGCAATGCTTCTGCCATCTGTATAATACACCTGTGTGCAGCGCCAGGGGGCTGCCACAGAGCTGTGCAACTGACAGGGGCACAGTCCTGTGTGGCCATCTGTCTCTGGAGACCACACAGTCTCATTTACCACTACCCCTCCTAGATCTCGCTTCATCTGCCTCTAGATCCTGTGCCTCCTTCTCCTTTTTGCCCCTTGTCCCTCTCAACAATCTTCTTGACACCCAAAACTCTTGCTTCTTCTGTGCAGAATACAGTTCCTCAACTCTAGTGGCTTCAGTTTCTAATGGAGCAACAACCATTACCTATTGCAGACTTTATAATACCCAGCTGGTATCCAAAAAGGCAAACATGTTGTTCTGATGCCCACAAAATGCTAGGAGATGCCAAGAGGATGAGGACCCCTTGAAGTGGAAATGTTCTCAATCCTGGCACCACCCTTGATTTATAGTGGAGTTTTGACTACAAAGGGGTAAGCCCTTTGACCTTCAAAGGCCATTTTCATCTGTCTTAAAATTCTGCCCACCTCTTGTGACCTTCCTCTTCTCTGTGCAGCTGGTCTGAAATCCAGGAATTGCTGAACTCCAACCATGTCATAAAAAAAAACCTTCCAGGAATGTGCTCATATTGAGCCCATAATAATCTACCTTGGCTCATTAATTGGAGCAGGCCTTTGCCAAAGACTAATTCCTCCCCTGCCCTTGGAAAAAAACTGGGTTGAAAGGCAGTTGAGAACTCCAGCCGTGCAATGCCACAGCCAATTTTTGTTTCTGAGCCCAATGTAGTTCCTGTCCAGAGGGAGCTGGGAAAATCTGTCTTTCCTTCACAATGATATTATTCTAATTCAACAGTTTACACACAAACCTCGGCATTTCGCCAAGCATTCTAACAGCAATGCTGAATCTGAGGGTAATAATTACACTTCATTGCTTTCAGGAAAGTTGGTGAGATGTGCTAAACCACAATAGGACAAAGCAGAACATAATATCCAATAAAAATCAAAAGAACTGCAGAAGCTGTAAATCAAGAACAAAAACAAAGTTGCTGGAAAAGCTCAGCGGGTCTGGCAGCATCTCTCAAGGACAAAACAGAGCTAACATTTCGGGTCCGGTGACCCTTCCTCAGAACTGATGGTGGCTGGGAAAACGTCAGTTTATATGCAGAAAATAGGGAGGTGGGTGGGGTAGGGAGTAAACGATAGGATAGAGCCCAAAAGGGAGAGAAAGACAGTTGGACAGACAAAGGAGTTGCAAACGATCAGGCTGGGAGGGTGAATAGTTGTTAATGGGGACTGTTAGTGGCTAACAACAGGGGGTGTGTAATGGCAGGCTATGTGGTAACAAGGCCTGGTGTACGGGGTAAGGAGCTGGGACATGGGAGAGTTTAGGTCCTAAAATTATTGAACTTAATATTGAGTCCGGAGGGCTTTAGGGTCCCCAAGCGGAAAATGAGGTGATGTTCTTCCAGCTTGCGTTGGGCTTCGCTGGAACATTGTAGCAAGCCAGAGACAGAGATATTGGCCAGGGAACAGGGTGATGCGTTCAAGTGGCAGGTACGGGTAGCTCAGGGTCTGTTTTGCAGCAGAACGTAGATGTTCTGCAAAGCGGTCACCCACTCTACGCTTCGTTTCCCCAATGTAGAGGAGACCACATTGTGAGCAGTGAATGCAGTAGACTAGAATCTTGGAAGTGCAGGTGAAGTGTGGCTTCACCTGGAAAGTATGTTTGGGCCCTTGGATTCTGGGGAGGGAGGAGGTAAATGGGCAGGTGTTGCACCTTCGCCGGTTACAGGTTCCTGCAGAAGGCGGACAAGGGAGGGGAGGGGAATATGTGTCTGGTGGTGGCATCTTGACGGAGGTGGTGGAAATGGCGTCTGATGATCTTCTGGATGTGGATGCTGGTGGGATGGTAGGTGAGGATAAGGGGAACCCTATTGCTGTTGCGGGAGGGAAGAGAAGGGGTGAGGGCGGGAGATGGGTCGATCCTGGTTGAGGGCCCTGTCGACAATGGAGCTGGGGAATCCTCAGTTGAGGAAGAAGGTGGACATTTTGGACGTTTTTCTGATGAAGGGTCGAGGCCCGAAACGTCAGCCTCTCTGCTCCTATGATGCTGCTTGGCCTGCTGTGTTCATCCAGCCCTGCACCTTGTTGTCTTGGACATTTTGGAGGCTCCCTTTTCGAAGTTGACCTCATCCGAACATATGTGACGGAGACGGAGGAACTGAGAGAATGGGATGGAGTCTTTACAGGAAGTGGGGTGTGAGGATATATAGTCCAGGTAGCTGGACTACTATAACATCCAATAAATCTGCATGAGTCTGCTTCCAAATCATTTTATTTTCATTCTCTTTTTATTTACTTCCCGCTCATGTATCATTGTGCTGTTTGGTCCTGCAAACGTAGAAACACAGTAAGAATCTCAAGTGTTAGAATTACTGGCCAGCAGTAGACAGAGAGTGAATTGTGAATAAATTTTTAAAAAGGTGCCTGACGACAACTTTTCGCAGAAAGGTGTAGTGGTTTCCCCTCAGAAGCCCATCCATTCAGTCGTTTCAGAATTGACAGCTAGCTCATCTGTCTTATCTAAAAGTTTCGCTGTCACAAGGCCAGCAATTCATACTGTCATTCACCTCATGGGGAACTGAGTGAAGATGCTGAATTACTCACCCAGCTGGCTTATTCACCCCAGGAGTTCATAAATTTCTCTTTTTCTGCCCCTCAGTAAAGTAACTCTCAGGTTGTAAGTCATGTAATGTACCAAATTATTAATAATCTTTAGATGTAATTGTACTGTTACAGATCTGTAGCTGAAGCCACTGAAGTTGATCTCAACATGCGTGTGGGTCTGCATACAGGGAGAGTGCTGTGTGGGGTCCTGGGTCTCCGCAAGTGGCAGTATGATGTATGGTCCAATGATGTTACTCTAGCCAATGTAATGGAAGCTGGTGGTCTCCCTGGGTAAGTGATATTTTTACTTCAGCTTTATGTAGAGAAATTATAAATCACTTCTAGGTAAGTATTAGATGGCAGATTAATGGCAAGACAATTTAGATAAATATTCAATTTGATTCAAGCTCCTAAACACTTTGATATTGCTTAATAAATATAGTTTGCAGTTAATGCTTGGATTTACATTCAATTTTAAATCAATGGAGATGGCTCTGTCATTTCAATTGCACCTTTCCTGACATTCCATTCAGATGCCTTTTTTTTGTTTTTCTTTCTTATCTTTGTTTTTTTTTCATATTTATATTTGCTCCCTTTTCCTTCTGATTGTTTTACAAGAAAATTGAAATTAGAATGCACAGAGCACTCTGGGGAAAAGTTTCCTTTAAGCTTTGCAATTGTAAACATACTGCTGAAAGGCTGAGTTATGACTTCTCAAAATGTTATGTGATGAAGAAACATATTTTTTCCACTCCACTTTTTTGAGAGTTTGGTTGCAAGTCTCAGGTAGATGTATACTCATTAGGTTTGAACCAAGAGGTGATTAGGTTTCAACAGACCTCTTTGAGACATACCTTGTGGTTTGATTTTTAGTAGACCCGAAACGTCAGCCTCTCTGCTCCTATGATGCTGCTTGGCCTGCTGTGTTCATCCAGCCCTGCACCTTGTTGTCTTTGATTTTTAGTACTATTGTGTATAAAATGCTGGATAAATATTACAGAATTCTTTCTCAAGCTGCCTTCTGGAAACACAACACCAGGAAGAATGTAATGTATTGTTAGCCATTTAAGGTCCATTTCCCAGCCAGCTGAAATTTTTCAGACAGTAAGAGCAGGTAAGGTTCAGATGGGATGCCCAGCAAATTAGCCTGCTTGCGTTATAGGCCTTGATTCCAAACAGAGCCTTTCCCTCTTCTCAGATCTGCTGCAGATGCTGTCTCCCCACTCTACCTAGTGCCTTCTCTCCTGGCCATGCTGGGATTCTCCCCAAATTACTTGTCATCCAATTCCTGGTACTTCTAGAAGTCTCAGTAGTGGCCACCACTCCAGGATGAAGAAACTGCCACAACACATTTCCAGGCTGCTTATGGAGGTGCAGACTCCATGCAAGATGGGGGTAGAAGTCTCAATTTGAACCACTAACAAAGGGCTTAGTGGTGCAACACTTCTCATGGCCATTTTTTGCCATGCTGGGGCAATAAACCCCACCACTCTCAAAATCCTGCCTTTGATGTTTTTCAAGAATGGAGGAATAATAGTGCAGGTATTCATTTCCTTAAATCCATTTCACCATTCAGTTTCGTTATGTTTAGTCATGAGTCAGTTTCATTTGACCACCTTGGTTTAATGTTCTTGATAGCCTTTACTAACAAAAACTGATTGATGTCCAAAATTTCAATTTATCCATCTAATATATTTTAACAGAGTTACAGGATTCCCAATATCCTTTTGTATGAAGAAGTGTTTTCTCACTTTGAAATATCCCAGCTCTAATTTCACACTTGTATCACTTTTTCTGAGTTGGCTGAACAGAGGAAATCGTTTCTCTGTGTCAAATTCCATTGTAATTTTAAAGTTAGACTTACCCTCAACTTTTTGAATGCAACGGACTACCAGCCACATTTGTGCATGGTATTAGTTTTCTGGAGTGGGGTGGTGGTGGCGAGGCTGGGAGGGCAGGTGGTACTCAGAGGTGGGAAGGCTGAGAGGGAGAGTGGTAGCACCCCTACTCAGAGGTAGGGGTGCTACCACAAGACCCCTAATCCCAAGTTTTATTGAGTGGTGAAATATTGGGAGTCGGGGGGAGTGGGTGGTGGGGGGGAAGTGTGGGGAGCGGCGAGTGGGGGATTGCAAAGTGGGTTAGGTTGGGAGGGGGAACATTGATGGCCAGGCAAAGTGACAAAGAGAGGGTAACACAGAGAGGGCTATTATAGGGAGATTGGGATGTTACCCCTGAGATGCATAAGGTACACACTGAAGTAGATTGCATCCGTTTTCCTTAAGTCTAATCTCTTAAGAAGTTGGGTTAAAACAAAACTTCTGATTCCTGGAGAAACTAGCAGGTCCGACAGCATCTTTGTAGAGAGAAATGGAGTTAACTTTTCAAGTCCAATATGACCAGTCACAGAATCTTGCTCTTAGACCAACCTCCCACTCAGATTCAGATACATGTCACAAGATTGCCACCTATTATGTAGGCTTTTTTATTGCCATTGACCTGTTGCGCAGAATGTTATTTAAAATTATATAAACAACATCCATAGACACTATCCACCATGTTAAATGACAGCCTCAAAAATCCAGGAAGGCGTGACTGAACGTTCACAAATCCATACCGACTTTTTCAACACCTCATTGTTGACCAAGAGCCCATAACTCTGCTCTTCTTGACAGATTTCAGTAATATCACTGAAAGTAAACTGATGGGTCTATAGTTAATGATGTATGTGTTGTAATATCAGCCATTATCAGCTTCTGGTTGGGTAGTTTGCAGCCACTATTCCCTCTCCTGAACTGAGTCTAAGGGCCTAATTGATTTACAGTGGTAGAGGAAAGCCACAAGTGAGTCTTGATAAGAAAAGATTCTTGTTTTAAACAAGATGGAGTTAATTGCGTGATAGCAGTCAGATGCAAGTAACATTAGTAACATAAGCATTGTTACAAACACCACGAGAAGACCAAAGATATCAATGTTCACTCTACAAGGTCCTACACGGTTAGAAGATATTACAAACACCTGAACTCCTAAACTCGAAACACTCCGCACAGTCCCTGTTTAGGTAAGGTTGCCAATTTAGTGTGATTTGCAGTTTTTATATGTACCATGACAAAATTAGGCAGGAGTCAGGCATTTTTCACAAGCTGCGATTCTGCTTCCTGACTGGCCATGCCCATTCATACTATTTAGTCTGGGATAGTCTACAATGGGGTGCTGCATCTAGAAGCAGCACTGAAGTACAGTCATGGATGATGGAGGTTGATTCATCCTGCCTCATGACCAATGATAGACCTACGTCCTGTGCCATCAAGGTGCAGCTGGACTAGGAATAAGTAACTGAATTAGGTCATCACAAAAGTGACTACATTTGCCTGAATTTTGACCCATGCGTATCTACTGTTAATGCTGATGTCACTGCCAGATAATAATTTGTTACCTCTGGAAGAGTTAGTTTCATATGAAAAGAGATATTAACCCATTTCTGGATCCAGAATTTTGTTTTATTGATTTAGGGAATATAGATTTGTAGACTGGACCAGCACTTACAGCCCATCCATAATTTTCCTTGAGAGGGTGCGAGAGAGCTGCCTTATTGAACTATATTAATCCATGTGCTATAGATAGACCATGCCATTAGGGAGGGAATTCCAAGATTTTGACCAAAGGAAACTGAAGAATCGGTGATATATTTCCAAACCAGGATAGGACTTGCAGGTGACAGCTTTTCCATGTATCTGCTCCCCTTGTCCTTCTAGATGGAAGTGGTCGTGGGTTTGGAAGGTGCTGTCTGAGGAACCTTGATGAATTTCATCAGTATGTCTTATAGATGGTGCACATGGCTGCTACTGAGCATCAGCGGTCGTAAGAATGAATGATTATGGCTGGAAACTGTGTCAATCAGTCTGGTCTGTCCTAGATGGTGTCAAGCTTCTGGAATATTGTTGGAGCTGCACACATCCAGGCAAGTGGGGAATTTTCCATCCCACTCCTGACTTGTGGCTTGTAGATGATGGACAGGCTTTGGCGACTCAGGAAGTAAGTTACTTCTTGCAGGATTCCTAGCCTCTGACCTGCTCTCGTAGCGATAGCATTTGTATGGCTAGTCCAGTTCAGCTTCCAGTCAATGGCAACCTACTAGCAGTTGATAAATGGGGGATTCAGGGATGGTAATACCATTAAAGTCAAGGGTCAGTGGTTAGGTTCCCTTTTGTTGGAGATGGTCAGTGCTAAAAACTTGTGTGTTGTGAATCTTACTTGCCACTTTTCAGCCCAAGCCAGAATGTCATCCAGTTCTTACTGCATTTGGACGTGATATTTTGGTATCTGAGGTGCCATGAATGGTGATGAGCGTTGTGCAAACATCAGTGAGCATCTCTACTTCTGACCTTATGATGCGAGAAGGGCATTGATGAAGTAGCAGAAGATGGCTGGATCTAGGTCATTACAGTGGCAAAGAACTCCTGCAGAGATGTCCTGGACTTCGTCTAATATTTATCCAATCGAGACAGTACAAAAACCTACCAACATGCAATCTTTCTTTTTAAAGCTTCTGAGTGACCTCTTGCTGCTTTACTGAGTACACTGGTTTGCACAAGCCTTCATAATCCATATGACTCCAAACTAACAAGCTCATTGCTTCAGCAGTTTTATTAAAACATTCATGACTCCTCAGATATTGAAGCAGTCCATATTCGAAGGCAACAAGATCTGGACAATATCCAGGCTTGGGCTGACAAAAGGCAAGTAACATTTGCACCACATAAATATCAGACAATGACCATCTCAAACGGAAGATAATCTAATCATGGCCCCTTGACATTCAGTGGCATTATCATCACTGAATACTCCATTGTCAACATCCTGGGGATTACCATTGACGAGAAACTGAATTAGACTAGCCATATAGACCATATGGGTAGACCACCAAAATAAGATGGGTGCAGTCACTCTAACTGGATTATACTATACGCCCCCCAACAGCCACCGAGAGAATGAGGAACAAATATGTAGGCAGATTATGGAAAGGTACAATAAAAGGAGTTGTCACAGTGGGTGACTTTAACTTCCCCAATATTGACTGGGACTCCCTTAGAGCAAGAGGCTTAGACGGGGCGGAATTTGTTAAATGCATCCAAGAGGATTTCTTGAAACAGTACATGAATAGTCTAACCAGAGGAGTGGCCATACTGGACCTTGAATTTGCTAATGAGCATGGCCAGGTGACTGACCTTTCAGTGGGACAGTATTTTGGTAACCGTGATCGCAACTTCTTAAGTTTTGAGAAAGCTGTGTACAAGGATAAGTCAGGACCTTGCAGGGAGGGCAAATTATGTCAGTATTAGGCAGGAGCTAGCGAGTGTTAATTGGGAGGAGCTGTAAGGAGACAAGTCCACATTTGACATGTGGGAACTGTTTAAAGACCTGCTGGGGAGAGTTCAGGACCGACATGTTCCAGTAAGGAGGGAGAATAAGGATGACAAAGTAAGGGACCCTTGGATAATGAGGGAGGTTGTGAATTCAGTCAAAAAGAAAAAAGAAGCTAAAATTGGAAGGGCCTATGAGGAGTGTAAGGACACAGGAAAGTACTCAAGCAGGGAATTAGGAGAGCAAGAATGGGCCATGAAATGACCTTGGCAAGTAGGGTGAAAGAGAATCCCAAGGCATCTGTAGATACATTAAAAAGAAGAGGATAACTAGGGAGAAGGTAGGACCACTCAAAAATAAAGGAGGGAGCTTGGACTTGGAGGCAGAGAATTTGGGTGAAATCCTAAACGAGTACTTTGCATCAGCATTCAGCCAGGAAAAGGATATAGAGAATAGTGAGATTTGTATGGAGCGTGCTAATATGCTCAGGCATTTTGAGAAGTGGTGTTGGATCTCTTGAAGAGCACTAAGGTAGATAAGTCCCTGGGCCCAATGGTATCTACCCCTGGTTTTTGAGAAAGGCAAGAGAGGAGATTACTGGGACCTTAACCAAGATCTTTGTATCCTCGCAAGCCACTGGAGAGGTGCTGGTGGACAGGCAACTAACTAATGTTGTTTCTCTGTTCAAGAAGTGAAATAGGGATAATCCAGGAAATTACAGACCAGTGATTATCACGTTGGTGGTTGGGAAACTATCGGAGAGAATTCTCCAGGATAGGATTTACACACATTTGGAAAAGCATGGCCTAATTTGGGAGGTCAGTATGGCTTTGTGCAGGGCAGTTCATGTCTTACAAACTTCTTTGTATTTTTCAAGGAGGTGACAAAGGTGATTGATGAGGGTAGAGCAGTGGATGTTGTTTACATGGATTTTAGTAAGGTTTTGACAAGGTCCATCATGGCAGGCTTATCCAGAAGATTAAGCTGCATAGGATCCACAGTGACTTGACCACATGGATTCAGAATTGGCTTGCCCATAGAAAACAGAGGTAATAGTGAAAGGGTGCTTTTCAGACTGGAGGTCCATGACTAGTGGTGTTCCACAGGAATCTGTACTGGGACCTCTGCTGTTATATATATGTAAATGACTTGGATGAAAATGTAGATGGGTGGGTTAGTAAGTTTTGCAAACAGTACAAAGATCGGTGGAGTTGTGGATAGTGTAGAAGGTTGTTAAAGGATACAGCGGGATATAGATCTGTTGCAGACGTGGGCGGAGAAATGGCAGATAGAGTTTAATCCATGTAAGTGTGAGGTGCTGCACTTTGGGAGATTAAATGTTAGGAAAAGTGTACAAAGAATGACAGCACTTTGAACAGCATTGACGTACAGAAGGATCTTAGGGTTCAAGTCCATAGCTCCCTGAAAATGGCTACTCAAGTAGATAGGGTGGTAAGGAAGGCATATGGCATGCTTGCCTTTATTGGTCGGGGAATCGAATACAAGAGTCAGGATGTCATGTTGCAGCTTTAAGACTTTGGTAAGGCCACATTTAGAGTATTGCATTCAATTCCGGTCACCAGATTACAGGAAGGATGTAGAGGCTTTGGAGATGGTGCAGAAGAGGTTTGCCGGGATGCTGCCTGGATGAGAGGGTATGAGCTCTAAGGAGAGGCTAGAAAAACTTGCGTTGTTTTCTCTGGTGCAGCGCAGGCTGAGGGGAGACTTGATAGAAATCTATGAAATTATGAGATGCATACATAAGGTGGAGAGTCAGAATCTTTTTCCCCAAGTTGAAATAACTAATAATAGGGGACATGCATTTAAGGTTAGAGAGGGAATGTCCAAAAAAGACGTGAGGGGCCAGTTTTTTTACATGGAGTGGTAGGAGTCTGGATTGCACTGCCAAGGGTGGTGGTGGTGGCAGATACAATAGGGCATTTAGGGACTTTTATATAGGCACATGAATATGCAAGGAATGGAGAGATATGGATCAATAGCAGGCAGAAGGGATCAGTTTCATTTGGTGTCATGTTCAGCACAATGTTGTGGGTCGAAGGGCCTGTTCCTGTGCTGTACATTTCTGTATTGTATGTTCTGTATAAATGCAGTGACTACAGAGCAGGTAGAAGATCACCTCCTGTATCAGTAAAGCCTGTCCAGCATCAAAAAGGTGTGAGTCAAGAGCGTGATTAAGTACTCACCACATGCTTGGATGAATGTAACTCCAACACCACTCAAGAAGCTTGATACCATCCAAAACAAAACAGCCTGCTTGATTGGCACCACCTCGACAAACGTTCACTCTCATCACCACTGATGATCAGTAGCAGAAGTGTGTACCATGGACAAGATGTACTGAAGAAAATCACTAAGAGTCCTTAGACAGCACTTTCAAAACTCATGAAGAGTATCATCTGGAAGGACAAGGGCAGCAGATACATGAGAACTCCACCACCTGCAAGATCTCCTCCAAGCCACTCACCAATCTGGCTTGGAAATATTTTGCGATTCCTTCAGTGCTGTTGGGTCAAAATCCTGGAATTACCTGCCTAACAGCATTGAGGGTTTAATTACAGCTCACAGACTGCGACGGTTGAAGAAGGTAATTCACTACCACCTTCTCAAAGGCAGCTAGGGAAAGGTAAAAAATCACCCAGCCAATGATTCCCATCTTCTGCAAATGAATCAAAAGAAAACTCAAGTTTGGACTACTTGCACATGAATGTGTTGTGGATGGTGCAGTATTTTGTTTTCAAAGTTGCTGTGTATGTAGTATGTGATAAAGTGATGTAATATAAGACTGTAATAAGACATTAGAGCAGAAGTAAGCCATTTGCCTCATCAAGTCCTCTCCACTATTCCATGAGGTCATGGCTGATTTTATAATTCTGAATAATCCACTTTCCTGCCTTTTCCCACAACCCTTGATTCATTTACTGATCAAAAATCTGTCTATTTCAGCCTTGAATACACTTAAACGCCTAGCTTTGACAGTTATCTGGGGTAAAGAATTCCATAGATTCACGACCCCCTGAGAAAAGAAATTCTTTCTCATCTCTGTCTAAACTGGGCAACCCTTTTCTTAGATGACGCTGTTTAGTCCTAGCATCACCTCCGAGTGAAAACAAACTCTCAGCATCCATCTGTCAAGCTCCCTAAGAATTATATGTATTACAATAATATAATATTTTTGTTTCATTCACAATAGGTGTAAATTACAAAACAAAGGAGTGACACAATTTGTCTACATTATCATTTTCTGGCAAAACAAAATGTCTTGGAATATACTGTACTTGAGCGTGCCACGTTATTTGTTGTTTTAAAATCTGACTTTTGGTCATGTGTTCACTTCCACCTGTAATTCTCTATTTTCCCCAACCCCACCCCCACCTTCTACAGTATAGTGTGTGCATTTGTGTGCCCATGTGTGCGTGTGTGTGTGCGTACAAGCATGTGTTGGAGAGATGGGGAAGAATTTAATGTGTACTATCTCAGCATTAACTATTTAACAAAGAATAAAATGAATACTGGAAATGATTGAACTCCTATTTAACAGTCACAACTTCAGATGTCCCTTATTCCACAGAGCTCCCTCAATGGCATAGCTGACAGATAAATCCAAGATTAATCTGTATGAGGATAAGAAGTTCACTGAATTAGTAATAGTCAGTACTTATGGAATATTGCACTAGTTCTAATTGCTCACTTCCAAATACACTTGTATCTATTGAGGACAAACCAAATGGAGAGATATAAAAGGGAATGTAATGGGAAAGAAATAATATTGTAACTTCCTATAATTGGCCCAGCTACATTTTTTTACCTGTGTTAGATTTAATTTCCCATTTGCTTATGTCCTCTTTCATTAAATGAAAAAAAAATGCTATGTTGCTCGTCATGCCAAGCCAGATGAGGTGTCAGTTGTCAGTTAATGGGTACAGGATAAAATGGCTGATGACAGTAGATGTCAAGGAAGGAAGACAATGACATTGGTTAAGGATAACAAGAGTCAGCCATTCACTTTTCCACTTGTGATAATATAATCCTCAAAATGAATGGATGTTTGGAATGTGTTTTTTTGTTTGAATGCATGATCTCAAAAGTGTATAACAATTTTTTTTGACAGATTAGTAAATTGTATTCACTAGCTCTGTTATTCATCATTTTGATAAACAGGTACCGCAGTAAAACCATCTTTGCTCAATGTTTCATGTGTCTACAATGCTGTTGATGCCTTCTAGAATACTTTGCTAGTTTTGACACCTAGTTACTCATAGCTTTGAGGAAAAGAAGTAAAACCTAAATGGATTGTGCATTTTTAAATAGCTTTGTTGCCATTATTTTGTTTTAGTAAATGTTTAGGTTGAATATCCAATATGCTTTGTAAGTCTGTCATTACTTGATAGCAATAATTACGGGCCTTCATAACTCCCAGGTGAAGAAACCTCGCTTGATTTATGTTAATAATATGGTGATTGGCTGCAGTGTTACTTTTGTTTAATGTCTTCACTTTGGTTTTAGAAAGGTTCATATCACAAAGACCACCTTGGAGTGCCTGAATGGAGATTATGAAGTTGAAGCGGGATATGGGTACGAGAGAAACAGTTTCCTTAAAAAGCATAACATTGAAACCTTCTTCATCGTGCCCTCTCATCGAAGGAAAGTGAGTCAAAAACTGATCTATGGATCAACAGTTAAGATTTAATCCTGCAGAAATATAGTATTGTAGTGTCAATATACGACTGAGAGTCCAGTCACAGAATTGTGTTGAATAACAAGAATTACTAAGTTAGTACTTTAGTCATGTTTTCAAACCACAGAAGATGATATTCAATTTCTGCCCAAAATGGCCACAAGGCCAGGGAAGTGGCCTTTGTCCTTTCATCTTGGTGTCAGCGTGAGGCTTAAACTGCTTTGAGATTTGTTCTCACCAATATGCTGTGAACAAACTGCAGTCACCAAGCTGGTGGCCTTGGTTATTTACCAATGGGGAAAGAGCATGAAGGCTGGTTGGATGTGGGGTTGTGGATATTGGAGGATAAATTCAGTCCACGAGTGTGTGCGTGCACGTATGTGTGCATGTGTTACACGGAAGTTGTGTTGAACAGGATGCAAATAGTCTAGATTTTTGTGCAGTCTCAGAGGCAGCAGACCTACTTCTCCCAGAATCGTCCAAACAACAACAGTTTCTTGGACTGATTTTTGAGTAACCACTAGCTTTCACTTTAAAGTCATATTGGATGGATTATTTAAAACAGAAAACTTCATTCTATTCAAGCTGGTTAAGATAAATATTGCTAGAAACTTTGAATTCCAGTCGTACAATTGTTGTGTATCACTTTAAAAGTCAGATTTACTTCAGTCTAGGAAAGGACGTAGAAGTCTCCTCAGTGTTTGATATCAAGGGCTGAAACTTAAATTAATTCAGAATGCAGAGGGTTGACTATACCAACTGTAAAAACGTATCTACCTGGAGTTAGGCTGTAGATGCCAGTATAATAGCTGATATGGTTTGAAATAGTTTCATGAAATTTAGTGCCAGTTGTGTGTCCATGATTTTCTTTCAAGACCACAAGAACATGAACTGTAGGAGCAGAGGTAGACCATTTAGCTCATCAGGTCTATGCTGCGTTACAGCGAGATCATGGCTGATCTGATAACCTTCAATTTCACTTCCCTGCCTTTTTCCCATAACCGTTGACTCTCTGACTGATTAAAAATCAATCTATCACAGCCTTGAATGCACTTAATGACCCAACCTCGACAGCCCTCTATGGTAAAGAATTCCACAGATTCACAATCCTTTCGAGAGAAGAAATTCCTCCCCACCTCTGTCTTAAATGTGCGACCCCTTACTTTAAAATTATGCCATCTGGTATTAGGCTGTCCCTCAAGAGAACAACCTCTCCTCACCTACCCTATCAAGTCCCCTAAGAATCATTTTTTGCATGTACTCAGAACTAAAAGCTGGTCAGAATTTTTTCTAGCAAGCATAAATTAATGTGTGCATTAGGTCCACTACACACATTATCCATTAATCATCAGTCCTAATTTCCTGCCTTAATATTAATTGACATCATGAGACCACTTCTAAAAGTATATTTTTGTTTGCTACTGCTTGTTAATTTATAATTAACATGGACCAAGTAGCTTTATTTAGGATTTGATTTGTCTCAATATTGGGTTAATTTCTGCCATTTAAAATCTAACATTTAAATGCAAAGGAAACTGAAAAAAAAAATCACCCCCAGTGAGAAAAGCAAAAACTGTTGCTTGAAGGATTCTCTTTGGTGAACTTGGCAGCATGAGTTTGTATATGATGGATAACCTATAGGAAAAAGCACAGGAAAAGGACTAGATGATGACCTGTGCCTGGGAGGTTTGGGGCAAGAGAATATGTCATGCACCTCGATTTCAGAAGGGAATGATGCCTGGGGGATTTCTCATTGACAAGGATTAAAGCTCAGATTTATCCTGACTTCTGAAACGAAGTGTGCAGCCGCAGAGCAATCTGTATGGTAATTTCAGTAGAAGTCACGTTGAGTTACATAATTAATTTCTACGTCAATTGTATGCTTCCGAGCACGTAACAGTTAGTGTTCAATTCACCACACCACCACTAAAATTACAAGATTCCTAGTTCTACTATAATATGACATATGATATTATCTTGTCTTCTGAGAACTGATTGAATAGTTCAGGCCTACACTCACTAGAGTTTAGAAGATGGAGAATAGATCTAATTGAACTATAAAAGATGTTAAATGGGATTAACAAAGAAGTAGAGTGGATTTTTCACCTTGTGGGGCAATCAAGAATGAGCAGTATAGTTTTGGGTGAAGGAAAGTAATAAATTTAAAACAGGAGGAATTACTTCTCTTAAAGGGCAGTGAAAGTGTGGAATTCATTACCCCAGAGTGCAGTATATGCTGGGATGTCAAGAAACTTAAAGACGTGATAGGCAGATTTTTAATTAGTAGCAGTTTAAAGGATTAAGTAGAGCAAGCAGGAAAGTGGAATTGGGCTGAGATGAGATCAGCCGTTGAATGGTGGAGCAGGGTCAAGGGACTGAGTTGCCTACTCTTGCTAGTTCTGATGTTCTTGTGTTCTTATATTCTTATAGTATTATCATGTTGCATGAGTTAGAGTGATTGAAATCAACTGCATAAGCACAATGCTCTGGAGTTTCCTTCCCAGACCTTGCCACTTATTAATCACTATATCCTCCTTTCATAAACTAATTTTAAAACATATCTCTTTGACCAAGATTTTTGTCACTTGTCCTTAACGCTCCACATGGCTCCGTGTCAATGTTGTTCATAACTGTTCTGTGAATTGTCTAGGGATATTTAGCTATGTAAATAAAAGTTGTTGATCCAAATTCACTTGTTATATGGCACCTCCTACTCACCCCTGTAATATTATCCTTTGTTCATCTACCAATAGTTCCAACTGTTTTATGAAGAGGGGTAGCTGTTTCCTCCATATTAAGATGCTATCACAGATAGAACTTTATGTAAATTAATACTAATTTTCAGAAGCAATATAGAATGCACATAGAAAGCCATAGTTTCCTTAATTCTCAAGGTGAAAGACTTCTTCAAGATGACAGTTGGAGCAGTATTGTTCAGGTTATTTACCATGAACACTGGGACTGCTGCCATTTTGTTTCCATGTCATAGTATCCATCCAAAACATGAGGAAATAACATTGCTGCAGAAACAACTTTTCTGCACTGGAATAGGATTGTCATCACAAAATCTCTTTCTTTATTCCTTGACAAGTTGTGATTCTTTATTGCCCATCCCTTATTGTTCTTAAGAAAATAGTGGTGAGCTGCCTTTGTGTACTGTTACAATCTAGGTGGTGAAGGTACTCCCACAGTGTTGTTAGGAAGGTAGTTCCAGGAAGTATACCCAGCATTGCTGAACAAACATCAGCATCCATCCAAGTCAGTGCATTGCTTGTGACTTGAAAGGGAACTTGCAGGTGGTGGACTTTGTCCTTCTGGGTGTATGGTTGCAGCTTTCGGGGGTGTTCTTTATATAAACCAAAAAGCAAGGTACTTTGCTGCAGTGCATCTTGTAACTGGAGTACTGCAGTCATGGTTGCCCAGCGATGGAGGGAGTGAATGGTTATGGTGGCACATGAGATACCAATCAAATTGCTTGCCTGAGCTGAATGGACTTGAGCTTCTTGAATGTTGTTGGGATTGCATTTATCAAGGATAGTGGAGGTTAGTGCATCACAGTCCTGACTTCTGCCATGTGGATGGTGGACAGGTTTGAAGAGTCAGGGTTGTGTCATCCACAATAGAACTTCCAAACCTTTACCTATTCTTATTGTCAAAGTATTTCTATAGCTTCTCTATTTAAGTTCCTCGTCAGTGGTAATCAGTCAGTTGAAAGTGTGGGATTCATTGATGGTGAGTGTCACTTGCCACTTATAAGCTCAGGCCTAAATGCAGTCCAGGTCTGCTGCATGCAGACTTACAGTCCTTACTATATGAGGAGTTGCGAATGGAGCTAAACACAGTGCAATCATTAGCAATTATCCCTACTTCTTATGATCTTTGGTTGCAGATGTTCAATATTATTGTTAACTATCCTATGCACATACAGTTCTCATCTTAAATGTAACAGGGGAGTAGATATCAAACTAAATTAGTTGGAGCCATGTGATTCATTGTTATCGTTGTTAAACGCTGCTATATTGTCCTTCATAAATCCATAGGCAGATGATAATAGTTAACTCTTTCTAAAGTATTTCATAAAGATAGTTAAAAGCTATTCCCCTTTGCCATGTTGATAGTGTATCCTGTTTTGGTGATGCCACATCGGGAATATTGTTTTCTGGAACACAAGAAAGGCACAGACTTTGGAGGAGTGTTGTTAGACAGATACAAGAATGACTCCTGAGTATTGGGCTGAATTATTTGGAAAGAATGTCTACAAGATTTTCTGTATCTGTAAAGAAGGGGACAATCATCGGGACCAGATCAAAGATGTTCAGATTATTATAGTTCAGAAAAATTTGGATCGAAAAATGATCTACCATGTGCAGGATTCTAGGACTGCAAAGAAAGTCAACATTAACAGTGACAAAAGAAATTAGAAAATATAGAAAATGTTTTTTTTTCTCGTAAGAAGGTGATGGAATCGTGGAATAGATAGGCCCGAATACTTACTAGCAATCCTTTTTGTTAATATTGGAGTCAAAGCACATGGTCTCAGTAGTTTGTTTCGATAGGGAGGAGCATTGATCAATGTATTGTAGTCTTCCAAATGTCCTATGAATTTAATGTTTCTGGCATTAGTTGGTCTCCAACAGCTTTCTCAAGAGAAATTGATCCATTCCTTCTTAAATTCTGTTATTTTATAACTTTCATGTTACTATAATTTTAGTATAACTATACCTAACAGCTCCCTGTGCACTTGGAGACATATAGTCTGCTCATAGGCAGTACTGATATTTTCATTATTGTTCCCAAATGTGAACCTCTTGCACTTTCTTCACAGTAAGCAGCCTGTGCCCCCCCTTTAACTTTCAACAACTGAGCTACCTATGTCTTTTGTCAGCCAGTATTCAGAGAAGTTCATGTGACCCCTTCAATTCTCTGTTTCACTCTTAACTACAGAAACAGTCCCAAAAGACAAAGATCTTACTATGTATTTGCAAAAGCATCTCTTAATCAATCACTCAGAGGTCAAAGATTCACTATTTTACTATTAATGTGCCATGTTGGAGTCTATTTGCATTTGATGATGAAGGGGTTGAGGTTGAGTACTTCTTTGCTCTCCATCAAAATTAAAATCAGTTTCTTGATCACTTATGAATCACTTTCTTTATGGGGAGGTTTTCATTTGCCTGCATTCAATCACACTTGCTGATTGCACTCAATGAACGTTACAAAGTCAGACCAATTGAGTTGTACACCTATAAAATTTTCTTTACACTATCTATCTGAGCAAGTGAACTTCCCCTTAGGGATGTCAGTGCATGAAGGCCTCTGATTAATCTTAGTAACCATTCTAAGATTTTCAGAAGTTTCGAAGTATGTGAAATTATGAAACAAAAACAGAAGATGCAAAATGTAATTTAGTTTATGAATGATTTGTTATCTTTTCTCTGCTGTTCTACCTCCTAGTGAATAGACCTGTTTAGCTTATACTTTAATTTGTAAAGTCAGTGTTCTCAGTCATTTTTCCTTTGAAACCCTCTTCCCCATCACACTTGCGTAGTACAAAACATTTCCAGAAATCGTGTTGTGCTAATGTTATACAGGTAGTAAATCACATTAGATATTACTTTTTACCCCAATGAGAAATGTCACGTGTACCAAATCCTTTGGTGGAGTTCATTAGGGAAAGACTCAGAATTGCATCCATTGACCCCTGTGCTGCAACATCACAGAAAAAAGCATTTCAACTTTCACATAAAGGAGCAGCAAGAGTTGTTTAGGAAAGGGCTCTTAGATTACAAAAAAAGGTTAGAAATGGTACATTTTCAGATCATCCATGCTATTATTGAACACTCACAAGTCAAAAATGGTATTGGCTAGTCAGCTGGCAGAGCTCCCTGTAATATATAACAACAATATATTTTCACCAAGCAGGTGAAGAGCAAACCCTCCAGCACCAATTTGACACTCCCATTCTCATTTCATGTACCAACTAACCAAAGGGGTTCTTTTAGTAGGTCTGCCAATTTGATGTCAGTTAGTATTGGTTTGTAGATAGTTTCATGCTTTGGGCTTTTATTCAGTACAAAAGGATCCAGCCAACTCAATTTATGCTACAAAATGCATTGAGTTACAACATAGAAACAGGCCATTTGGTTCAATTTGTCATTTGTTCATGCTTAGCAAATAGATCTAATCACATTCACCAACGCTGTTCCCATAACCCTTCAATCTCTCCCCCTACATCCACCTATACAACTTAATAGTGGAGGTTGATCTTTCATGCCTAAGTATTAACCCTGGAAATGAAAGTGACAGTCTCACAATTCTTTGTGTGAAGAGGTTTCTGCTGACCTCATGTAAGTCTTACAAGTTTTAACATTAAGTAGTATTCATTCTGTGGCTCCATATTTTTGACTCCTCAACAAATAAAAAGTATTTTATCTACCTGATGTCTTTCTTACATAATTTTAAACAATTTTACTATATTGGCCTGTAATCTATCTTGTTACAGTTAAAAACCCTCTATGTTCTTGTGGATTTTGATAGTTCCTTTATGTGTTCTTTCATTAAGTTTAAATAGCATTCCCTGTGGAAGTAAGTTCACTAATTTGCACATGATTCTAACTGAGTTATTAGTAAGGGCTAATATCATTACCTCTTGCATTACCTCTTGCATCTTCCCCTTGCAATAAAGGTTAGAATTTGATTTGTTTTCTTTTAGGCCATATGAACCTGAAGTGTTAACTTTATTGTTGTGTGCACCTGTGCCCTCAAACCCTCTGCTGTCCAAAGCATCAAGTCTATTTCCATTCAGTGTATAATTGCTACTGTTATTTCATTTTATCAATGCTATCACCATAAACTTGCCGACATTGAATTCCATCTGCCAGTTATCAGTCAATTCCCCATCATATTAATATCTGTTATCCATTTTTTTTTGGTCTTCTGGAGAATTAAACACAAACTTTTACAGGCAGCATAAAGGGTGAAGAATTCCAAAGTTTGAATTTAGATTGGAACCCCAGGCCTTAAAGGTGAAAGGAAGGCTTTTAAAAGTAAATGTAACATTGTCTTAAAACTGCATTATATTGCTTGTTACAAATATGTTTAGCACTGACTATTTTCTCTCTTCGGCAGATTTTTCCGGGTTTGATTCTCTCAGACATAAAACCAGCAAAAAGGATGAAATTTAAAACTGTCTGTTATTTACTTGTTCAACTGATGCACTGTCGTAAGATGTTCAAAGCTGAAATACCCTTTTCCAATGTGATGACGTGTGAGGATGATGACAAGGTAAGCATTTTATTCAAATTTTGTTGATGTGTCTCACTGCTTTTTTCCTCACGAGATCCTTGTTTGACAAGGAAATGTGTCAATGAGGAAGTGTTGTTTTCCTCTAACCCTGCCTATTTCTTTTGAAAGCCATTGCCTTCCATATGTTCTTGTGCAGTAGAATCGTTCAACATGCCCATTGTGCTGATTGAAAGCTGCTATTTATTTCTCCACTCATCACCCTACCCAGCTGGCATGAATTGACTGAAGCTTTTGTTGTTAGTTTCCTGAAAGACCATTGCACAGATGTGGATTAACATCAGCAAAAGGAAGATACTAATTGAAACCTAAATATAGGCTCCTGCTACAAATTAGGATATTTAAATCTACGATCACTTTTATTAGAAGAGTTTCTTATATTTAAATCATGGCAATTGGAGAGGGTAAAAAAGATTTGTTAGTTTGTAGGTGATTGAATACAGTACTTTAAGTAACTTATTGAAGTGATAGATTTTATGGCACACAGACATCACAGATGAGCGCATTTCAATTTCCCAAATTGCTTGTTTTCAGTGGAACATTTATAAAAATTATTTCCAAGTAAATTATTTACTTCTGGTATATTGCTATTTATATGTAGCTTAATAGGTTATTGTAGAATGTTGCTCATCCAGCTAGACAGATCTAAGGCCAAACTGACTGGCATTCCACAAATTTTGCCTTCAATAGTTGAGGTTTGATATTTTTTGGTCAGGCTTTAAATTGCAGTACTAGGCATGAGTGTTGTATTTCAGCGCAAATCAAACCTGGTAGAGTCCATCTGAAGCCATGCAATGACAGTGGCGGTAGAGAACTCGCAATTCTAATTACCTTCATCTACCTATGTAGCTTGCTGATTTTAAATATTTATTGCCAGGAGGCAACAGATGAAAGAATATAGAAAAGGAAATAATGAAGTGAAACCATCAATAAAGCAGGAATGTAATGTTTCTTTTGCCTGCAGTGTAGTGTTAAGGAACATTGCAGTAAGACCATCGCATTTCATTTTTGTGAAAAATGGAACTCCAGAACCGGATAATTTTTTAAAAATCTAATATGTAATTCCATTATATGTTTTACACTACACGTCAAATAAAAGCTGTCATTTCACTGATACTCCAGGGATGGTGGGACTGATGTATGAGGAGGGATTGACTAGGTTAAGATTATTTTCACTGGAGTTCAGATGAATGAGGAGGGGTCTCATGGAGACTTATAAAATTCTAACAGGACTGGACACGGTAGATGCAGGGAGGATGTTCCTGATGGTGGGTGTGTCCAGAACCAGGGGTCACAGTCTGTGGATTCAGGGTAGACCACTTAGAACGGAAATGAAGGAGACATTTCTTCACCCAAAGAGTGGTGAGCCTGTGGAATTCATTACCACAGGAAGTAGTTGATGCCATAACATTGAATGTTTTCAAGAGGCAGTGAGATATAGTATTTGGGGTGAATGGGATCAACGGTTATGGTGAGAATACAGGATTAGGCTGTCAAGTTGGATGATATGCTATGATCATGATGAATGGTGGAACAGGCTCAAAGGGCTGAATGGCCTTATCCTGCTCCTAGCTTCAATGTTTCTATGTATCTCTGTGCTTCAGGTGATAACAAAGTGTTATAAACTGAATAAACTATGCAAACCAAATGGTACAAAGCCCCAAGAATCCTAGGAATCAAGGATTTTTTTCGTCCCTTTTTTGAGACACCACTGAAACAGATGGGACTTGGATATAGACCTTCTGGTTCATAGGTGGGAACACTGCCACGGCTCCACAAGAGTCTTAAAAGTCAAAATTTCTCACTTCAGCTCCAGAAGGGGATCAGATTTGTAATCCTGGCTCTTGATTGGCCAATTACACATAATTACTAAAACTCTGTAACTTGTACCTCTTGGTATCAATCAATGAACTACCTTTTCTTGATGAAACTCACGAGTATTTCATTACCTACCACTGTTAACCAAACAGGCCGTTAGACTCAGTACGGAAAGGTGAATTGGTGGCAGCAGTAGGCCTCAAGGCAAGCTGCCTGTGTTTGGTTGCGCAATCATACAACACTCCAAATAGTCTTTATAGCAACATAGAGTCTATTCGAAGAAACAATGAACTACATCTTGTTTTACTCCAAAAGATATTTCTTGTTTGACTGAAAAGTGGATCTCTTTGTACATGCTAAACCATATGAGGCCCTAAAGAGCTAATACAGTGGAGATATGCCTGGCAGCACACATAAGTATTATTTAAATTAGCAGGCAGCACTAAATTTTATATATTATCTTATGAGAATGAATGGATGCAGGTTAATCGTGGATTACAATCCCTATGCCTGCTTTTGGACCTGATCCAGTTCTTTGCCATTATCTTAATCTGTACAATACTATTAATGCTCACAGGCTGCTGTGTAGCATTGAATCTGGGTGACATGGCTGACAACACGTGAAAATTTTTCTGTTTTTGTGTTTAGACTACATTGCTAAATGCAATAAAATAGATGTGAAAATAATAGTCTTAGAGTTGAACTGCTCTTATGAGCTTACTGAATCATTATTTCAAGACTTTCCAGAAGACAGAAAAGCAATTTGCACAACATAATAAGGAGTATCAAGACAGTCCACACCTTCAAATTTATAATAGGTATAAATACAACAAACTAATGATTTAATTTGTTAAAGATCAGTGGGTGGTATTGTTCTGTTTGCAATGTGTTTGCATGAAAATCAAGCTCTCATCTTTAAAAGGTTACTTTTGCATGCAAAATCATTTCCTGTCCTTATTTTTGTAAAATGATCCAGCAAAAGATATGACTGAAAAATGTTATTATCAGGATTGTTGAATCACTTATTATGGCACTCAAAGATATCTGTTCAATCTGTTTCCTACAGTGTGACATGTTCCTTGACCAATTAAAACACCAGGCACGTTCTTGAAATTAGGGGTTGCAGGGTGTGAGAGATGGAGAATCTCCTTATAGAAAAGTCTTTGTCTGGACTGAGATGAAGGAAGACAAGAAGCGGCTGTAGGCCTGTCTGAATAGCTGGCACTGCAGCCTGCCATTGGGTATCTGCCTCCAAATTGTTGAACTGCTTCCCTGTCATATAAAGGAGATGCAGACTGACTGACTCTCAGTCAGTCTCATTGGTAGTCTGCTTTGAGGAACCACTGGGCCCTAAATCCACTTCCCCTAAATTGGCTGGTATTGGGAATGGTGTCAGGAAACTAGCACACCAGAAAGTGCTAGTATCTTTCTGTTCTGTGTGCCTCCGTTTCATCCATAATTGGGTTTCAATTGATTATTTGAATTTTGAACTTTGAATAACGCAATGTGTTTTAAAGGCCGCATTAAAGTTCTTCCATCATATGTTTGCTTAAAAATTTGATTAAACAGAAATCTTATTACCACATGTGTACAGATAGCTTCAGAACTCCCAACGCATGCCCTGTCCATTACATGAATGGACCATTGATATAATGCCCTTTGCTCAACGTATGGAAAGCATGCCCGATATTATGTGTAAGGTACATGCACAGCAACACTGTCGGTACTTCTTTAAGATCCTTTAAATTTTAATTTTAAGGATACAATGCATTAATGTCAGCAAGGTGCTGCAGCACCTTTCGACCAACTTGTAAGATATCCAAATAAATTTAGTAAGGCAAGAGATTCCCCAATGACAAAGATATCCCAGTATGAATGAATTCCATCACTTCATTCTCCCCCATCACAGAAGGTGCAGATGTTGGCCAATTCTGCTAAATGAAGAAAATTGTTGCAGAAAGCACATTTACTGATCAGATGTAGCAACCACCAAGAATTTGCCTGTAATACAGTCAGTGTGGGCTGGCAAGCAGGCTTGAGTGGGCAGCTTGTTTTTAATAATGTTTTTAAATGGAAGGAAAAGGCGTACTAAACGTTGAGGGTGAACTCTCTGCATCTCTGCCTCCCCCCACCACCAAGAAGATAATTGTTCCTCCCCACCCTACCTTAATGGCTGGATTTTAAAACTCACTGCCACCTCCCCCCTCCATCCAATGACATTGACCTACCTTAGTTTTCAATCCATTGAGACGTTCAGCCTGGGCCTGTATGCACCAATCCAGCCCACCCACACCATGTTATAGCTGTAGAGTGAGCTTCTTATCATTCTACCAGCTGACAACTGACTTTCCTTTGGTGGGGCGGAGACATGGACAGGCACTCATCTAACCCCTGCACTGCCACTCCACACGCACACAAACAAACACACACACACTTCCTAAAATTCTGGCCACAGATTTGAGTTTTAAGACAAAGTCCAATGACTAAATAAAGCTTAATACCTAAAAGTTATCAATCCTATGTTATAAAATCGGTGGATAATGTGAGTGATTACCTTGCATTTAACATTAATGTAGCCTTAATGGCTTTGAGATGACATGGTGTTGATGAAAATTTCACAGATCCTGCGTAATATTCATTATAGAAAGCAGTGATCCAGGACAAAAAACATACAATTCATGAATATTTAAACTTGTCTTTTTAATTGCTGTTCTTCACTGGACATAACTGACACAGAAAATGTACAGTGACAAATCTGCATTTATATGTTTTACACTCTTTAAAATTGATGTGCTTCTTCTAGTCAGCTTTAGTGCAATGTGTAACATTCTGTTAACTAAGTTCAGGTAAAGGTAGAAAGGCTGCATCATATCCAATACAGTGGAAGCTATTATCTGGCGAATACTTGATTGCTAAAGTAAGTGAAGAAACTATCAAGACCAACTAAACAGAGGAAGCAAGAAGATTTTCTATCTCCCATCCTAGTCTCTGGATTAGAGGGTTCTACACTGGGGCAATAACAATGGTATGGTTTGAAAATTGAACTGTAGAAGAGTGCTCTTTCCTCAACTTGTCACTAACTAAAATATTTTCTTTTGTTTACAAAGAGAAGAGCATTGAGGACAGCATCTGAAAAAGTCAGAAACCGATCATCTTTTTCTGCAAATGTTATGCACAACACTCCAGGAACGCGAGTGAATCGATATATCAGCCGGTTAATTGAAGCTCGACAAACAGAGTCTGAAATGGCAGATTTACATTTTGTTACCTTAAAGTACAAACAAACTGAAAGGGAGCAGAAAGTAAGTTTTTTTTTATATATATATAAAACCAGGTAAACATACAATGTGTTTTAAAGTGCACAGAAGCCTATGTTAAACAAAGAATTTTGTAGGTTTTCATCTAAGTGCATCTTCTACATCGCCTGGGTGGAGCATCCAAAGAAAATAACACAGACTGCTTTACAGACAACCATTCTAACCCATGGTGTTGTAAATATCAACAAGTGGGAGAGTTGTATACAGTGGCTCATGGAAAATCAGCACATAAGCACAATGGCTTTTTAATTGACCCACCTAATTATCGTTTTACTTACAGCTTTGTGCCTAATTAATGTCAGTAGACAGGATCATGTCATGTATTTTCATTTCTGGTTAAAGGAACAGTGAAAGCATCCAGGTTGGTAGAGTTAGTATGGGGAGACACTAGCCTGCTGCTATGAAGTCAACATAGGCAATGGCTGCACCCTGCTTCACTTACCCCAGCTAGAATGTACACTCAGTCTTCTGGGAGCTGAAGGGAGATAATCTTCCCTAATGACATGAGGCAGAATCTTACAGTTAGCTCAAAGAAGGCCTTGCTTGAGGTAGTCCAGAGGTCAGCAGCAGGAGCACGGTACCGTGTTCCTTGATTCAGTACAATAAGCAATTTATTAACATATACAAGGCAGGAAAGCTGCATCTTTATATCTCTGCAACCTGTCATGCTGTTTTCTTCAAGCACATCGCCCCTCATGCCAATTTATCGTGTATGCATTTGTCAATGCAATTACTTGTCTCCCTATCTATTCATCCACCACTGTCAGTCCCATTTACCTTTATGTATGGTTATATCTGTCCTTTGTAGTCACACACAAAATGTTCTGGCTGTGCTGGGATGAACACATGCCTTTTATCTCTTTCCGAAGTATATTGTTTTCCATGTGGAGAATAGAGAATACAAGGGAGACAGTGAACACATGCAGAGGTAGAGCTGATGGAATTTGTCGAGTCTGGCCAACGTGGCCCTCAGAAATGGCAAGATGAAGTTCTTCCAGATATGTAGTGGTAGAATTAAATGTCATCCAAGCACAAAAAACTCAGTCATGTTGGCTTGTTGTCAGCTACACTCAAATATGATTATATTTGAAGAGTGATGAATTCAAGCATTCACAGAAATGTAAAAACTAAGAGCAAGAGTAGGCTATTCGGCCCTTCAAGCCTGCTGAACTAATCAATATGACCATGGCTGATTATCCAACTTGGTGCTCTATGCCCATTTCTTCCCCATACCCTTTGATCCCTTCAGCCCTAACAACTATATATCTAACTCCTTCTTGAAAATATTCAATGATTTGGCTTCAACTACTTTCTGTGGCAGAGAATTCACAAGCTCACTACTCTCTAGGTGAAGAAATTTCTTCCAGTTTCCGTCCAAAATGCTTTACCCATTATCCTTGGGCTATGACCCTAGGTTCTGGACTCTGCAGTCATTGGGAATGACCTTCCTGTATTTACCCTGTCTAATCCTGTTGAACTTTTACAGGTACTATGAGATAGCTCCCCTCATTCCTCTGAACTCCAGTGAATGTAGTTGGAACCAATCCAGTCTGTATATACCAGCCCTGCTATCTCAGGAATCAGTCTTTGTTGCTGTGGTTCATGTTAATGTATTCACATATCTTTTGATCTAGTGGGGGCATCATGTAAGAGGTGAAACAAGTTTCCCATGATGACAATAACTACTTAGATGAGTTGACTCTGTTCTGAAGGTGCACAATCAAATTACTTGTTTAGATCTTGTGACAGTGCTCTTTGTAATTTCTTGGGTGAATGATGGCACATTACTGGGTTTTCACCCAGTGACTTACAACTCCTATCTGAGCAAAGCCAATTGTGAAATCAAGGATGCAGTCCACATTGAAGGCTATAGCCCTCTCCAAGTTCTACTCAGCTGTACTTCGGCCCCATTGATGGCACAGCAGCAAAGTGAGTCTGAATGGCTTGCTTGTTGAGAGATTGGATGAGTCTATCTCAAGCATCAGTGACATGATATCATAGACTTTGTGATGAAGAAGGGCCAGCAGAGGGCGGCGATGACAGTGATTGGTGCTTGGGGCGAAGATTTGCATCAACGCAGTCACCACCACCAAACAGGGGTTTGAGGAGGAAATGTTGTCAAGGGAATAGACAGGTGTTTCTGTGGCCACAGACTAAACTTCAGGATGTTGTGTTGCTTCCCTGGTGATAGGGTCAAAGATGTCTCGGAGCAGGTACAGGACATTCTGAAGGGGGAGGGTGAACAGCCAGTGATCGTGGTACACGTAGGTACAAACGGCATAGGTTTAAAAAAAATGGATGTGGTCCTAAAGGCAGAATATAGGGAGCTAGGAAGAAAGTTAAGAAATCGGACCTCAAAGGTAATGATCTAAGGATTACTACCAGTGTCACGTGCTAGTTGAAGGAGAAATGACAGGATAGACTGGATAAATATGTAGCTGCAAAGATGGTGTCAGGGGGAGGGTTTCAGATGCCTGGGGCATTGGGACCGGTTCTGGGGGAGGTGGGATCTCTACAAATTGGACAGGTTACACCTGGACAGGAGTGAGACTGATGTTCTGGGGGAGTGTTTGCTAGAGCAGCTGGGGAGGGTTTAAACTAATATGCCAGGGGTATATAAAGAGTCTATGTAAAACTATGTAAGAGCCTAAGGAACCTATGTAAAGAGCCAGAGAAGAAGGCAGCAAGGACAGAAACAAAAGATAGAAAAGGCAATAAGAAAAGTGATCGACAAGATTCAAACAGAGCTATTGAGAAAAATAAGGAGGAAACAAAAGGACAAGCTTAAAGGCTTTGTGCCTTAATGCGCGGAGCATTTGCAATAAAATAGATGAACTAATTGTGCAGATAGATGTTAGCGGCTATGATATACTAAGAATTATGCAGACATAGCTGCAGGGTGACCAGGGATGGGAACTGAATGTCCCAGGGTATTCAGTATCTAGGAAGGACAGACAAAAAGGGAAAGGTGGCGGAGCGGCATTGTTGGTTAAAAAAGAAGTTTACACAATAGTGTGAACGGATATTAGCTCTGACAATGTGGAGTCTGTATTGGTAGAGTTGAGAAATATCAAGGGGCAAAAAACATCAGTAGATGTCATATGTAGACCCCCAAACTGCAGTGGTGATTTCGAGAATGGCATTAAACAGGAAATTAGAGATACATGTGATAAAGGAACATTGGTGATCATGGATGATTTTAATTCGCACATAAATTGGGCAAATCAAATTAGCCACAATGCCATAGAGGAGGAATTCCTGGAATGTATACGGATGGTTTTGTTGACCAATATGTGGAGGAACCAACTAGGCAGCAGGCCATCTTAGACTGGGTACTGTGTAATGGGAAGGGAATCATTGCCAATCTAGCTGTGCAAGACTCCTTGGGCAAGTGTGACCATAACATGAAAGAATTTTTTTTATCAAGATGGAGAATGAGGTTGTTGATTCGGAGACTAGAGTGCTGAACCTTAATAAAGGAAACTACAACAATATAAGGTGTGAGTTGGCCTTGATAGATTGGGGAGAGTTACTTAAAGGGATGACGGTGGATAGGCAATGGCAAACATTCAAGGTACACAGGGGGAACTGCAACAACTGTTTATTCCTGTCTGTTGCAAAAGCAAAATGGGTAAGAAGGCCTATTCACGGCTTACAAAGGAAGTAAGAGATAGTATCCGATCCATAGAAGAAGCATACAGATTGGCCAAGAAAAATAACAAATCTGAGGATGGGCACCAGTTTAGAATTCAGCGAAGGACCAAGGGATTGATTAAGAAGGGGAAAATAGAGTATGAAATTAAGCTTGCAGGGAACATAAAGACTGACACTAAGAATTTCTATGTGAAGAGAAAGAGATTGGTAAAGACAAATGTAGGTCCCCTACAGACTGAGACGGGGGAATGTTTCAATGGGGACAGAGAAATGGCTGAGGAACTGAATATATACTTTGGTTCTGTCTTCACAAAGACGACACAAATCAGATACCAGAATTGTTAGAGGATGCAAGATTTAGTGAGAGGGAAGAACGGAGGGAGATCAATATTAGTAGAGAAATGGTGCTGGGAAAATTGTTAGGATTGAAAGCTGACAAATGCCCAGGGCCTGATAATCTACATCCCAGAGTACTCAAGGAAGTGCCTCCAGAAATAGTGGATGCATTGGTGGTCATCTTGCAGGATTCTATAGACTTTGGAACAGCCCCTGCAGATTGGAGGGTGGCTAATGTCACTCCAATATTCAAAAAGGGAGGTTGAAAGAATATAAGGAATTATAGACTGGTGAGCCTACATTGGTAATGGGGAAAATTCTTGAATCCATTGTCAAGGATTTTATAGCAGAGCATTGAGAAAGCAATGGCATGATCAGACCAAAATCAGCATGGATTTATGAAGGGGAAATCATGCTTGACAAATCTGTTGGAATTCTATGAAGATGTCACTCAGGCTCTTGAGTAGATTTGTAGCTCGGGTTGTGGATGCTCTGGTTGGTTGGCTCGCCAAGCTGGTTTGTTAGTTTGCAGACGTTTTGTTACCCTACTGGGTAATGTCATCAGTGCAGCCTCCAATGAAGCACTGTTGTGTTTTCCCACCTAGTATTTAAACTCTGGGGTCTGTTGGATTTGATTAGCTCATTTCTGGTTTTCCTTCGCAGTGGTATATGTATAGGGTCTAGTTCTATGTGTTTGTTGATGGCCTTCTTGGTGGAGAACCAGACCTCTTGAAATTCCTGTGCTTGTCTCTGTTTGGCCTGTCCTAGGATCTGGTGTTTTCCCAATCGAACTGGTGGTTCTCCTTATCTGTATGAATGGAGACGAGTGAGTATTGGTCGTGTATTTTTGTTGCTAGTTGATGTTCATGTATTCTTGTGGCCACTTTTCTTCCTGTCTGTCCAATGTAATGTTTGTCGAAGTCCTTGCATGGAATTTTGTATATTACGTTGGTTTTATCCGTAGTAACTAGTAGAGTTGACAAATGGGGGCCAGC